GTGCGCACTCCTTCTGGCTGACACGCCCCACCGGTCTGCAATGATGAGGACTGTAAATTCCTTGGACTGGCGACGAGTTTTATCGCGCCATACATAGGCAGTGTGCGTAACCGCGTGATAGCTGTCTATACGTCGGTACTTATAGTCCCCATGGGCATTCGTCCTGCTCACGCTGTGATATCTCATATAAAGTTGCAAGCACGTGGTAACACATATAACACCCCCTGTTACGCTATTCGGGCCGGCTCAAAAATCGCATGCCTGTTGCCCGGCGTCTCCCGCTGATTGCTGGGTCGCTTCGACTACGAGTTCGATGGAATTCTCCCACCATTACAGCTATCCAACGACCACTATGGTCGGTGAACGGTCACGGTCGCGCGATTTCTGAATGGCGTGATTGAATCGATGAGTGAGCAAATACGAGCGGCATCCAAATATTACTCCCACTAATGTGCCATCTCTATATAGTCTCATATGCAATGCTCACGCTCACCATTTGCATTCTACTCCCTTTTTCCCTGCTGCTAGCACGAAACTCGGACTTGGTGACACCAGTCCTTTCACAAGAGTGATGGCAAGCTCCAATAGGACACTCACTGGCAAAACCCGCGAAAAAGAACTGATAGAACTTGCTATGTACTTTAAAGTATACGAAACTCATTTGTCACATTAACATCCTAAGTGCTGATGCGCATTCAATTTAAACCCTATGAAAAACACGACTGTCAATTGGAGTTGTTCTCCTGAATACCACTGACAAGTTTCCCTAACGATTTGTGCCATCAGCTTCTTAGCAAATAGAAGGGACACCACAAACAACATTACAATCTTGGTAAAATGCTGAGTAACAGGTTAGCAGTATGGATAGCACCGTTTCGATCTTGAAGAGAAGGACAGTGGTGCCGTTACACTCGAAATCTCTGACAAGGGAGGTCGTTCAGGGCGTGGTGCGCTTTTCGAAAACGGTTTTTTGCATATTGTAGGGGCTCATGCAAGGACCTGAAAAGTGTGCTTCATTTTCGCTGCGCGCTTCCAGGTTCCATCAAAGAGCGCTACGCAGAGTCGAGCATCGGATGGCCTAGCGGATAGAGTGGAGGTTTCGCAATCGGACAGTGAGGGTGGGGTTGATGGTTCGGCTCCCCTTGCGTCGTGGCTTTTTGCATTTTTTAGATTTCGCTGTTCTCGCTTCCATTTGTGTCTGCGCATGAATATAACTCGGATATTTGCCATTTATGGGCACATTCTGAGTAGCTGTACCTCATGAAGTC